AATAATTTTTTATTAAAATTTAAATTATTAATTGAAGATTTATTAATAATGTGATTATAATTTTTAATGACTCCATCTGCTTTCAAAATAATAAATAAAAGACAAGTAAAAAAATAAATTCAAAATTGACATCCATCGGAACATTGCTGCATCAATATTACTTTTTATATTCATTTATTTTTATTTTAATGAAATTTATTCAATTATTAGCATCCCTCAATTTTAAACAGTCTATATATACTATTCTTGAGTACTTTACTGTAGCAAACAAAGATATGAGGATCTTCACAAAGCTCTCTGCACCAGTCTGCCTCCTTTTCTTCTTCCTCTGTCTTAAAACTGCCTTCTCATCCTCTATGCATGCTTCTTCCTTCTCAACAACGCATCTCTGCTCTCATGAGGAGGCTCTTGCTTTGCTGCAATTCAAGACATCCTTCTCCATCGATTACACTGTTCCGTATCCAAATTATCTAGATTATTGTGTGGATCAGTTTTATACCAAACCTAATTATTCTAAGATTGAGTCATGGAAGGAAGGTATAGATTGTTGTTCTTGGGATGGGGTTAGCTGTGATAATGTCACAGGCCATGTAATTGCCCTTAATCTCACCTGCAGTCACCTTTCTGGCACCTTTCCTTCCAACAGCACTCTTTTTCTCCTCAAAAACCTGCAGAGCCTCAATCTTGCTTTCAATGATTTTAGGCTTTCCAAGATTCCACCAGAAATCAGTCAGGTTACTAGACTAAAGCATCTTGATATCTCTGATTCTCGATTTTCGGGCCATGTTCCGGGAGAAATTGCTCACCTCCCCAAGTTAGTTTCCCTCAATCTCTCCAATTCTGACTTGATCCTTGAAACAACTACCTTCAAAAATCTTGTTCATAACTTGAGTGAGGTGAGAGAACTTGTGCTTCGTGAAGCGAACATGATATCTGTTAATCCTCGTTTCTTCATGAATCTCTCTTCTTCATTGACTACTCTTAATCTTTTCGAGAGTGCGTTAAGAGGAAACTTTCCAAACAGTATTTTTCGCTTTCCAAATCTCAAGAGATTTAGTTTAGGTGGAGAGGGAACCCTCACTATTGATCTTCCAAGTTCCAATTGGAGCAGTCCTCTCCAACAGTTGTATTTATGTGATATGGATTGCGGAAGGCGATTGCCAGAGTCTATAGGAGATCTTAAGTCATTACAGTATCTGGGTCTTTACTGCTACTTGGAAGGTTCCATTCCAGCTTCCATAGGTAACTTAGGGCAACTTACTATCCTAGACCTCTCTTCTAACCATCTTAGCGGACAAATCCCATCATCACTTGCAAACCTCACCCAACTTACCTCTCTTGACCTTTCCTATAATCAGTTTTCTGGTCCCATTCCAGCTTCCATAGGTAACTTAAGGCAACTTACTAGCCTACTGCTCTATTCTAACAATCTTAGCGGACAAATCCCATCATCACTTGCAAACCTCACCCAACTTACCTCTCTTGACCTTTCCAATAAGCAGTTTTCTGGTCCCATTCCGGCTTCCATAGGTAACTTACGGCAACTTACTACCCTATACCTCTATTCTAACAATCTTAGCGGACAAATCCCACCATCACTTGCAAACCTCACCCAACTTACCTCTATTGACCTTTCCTATAATCAGTTTTCAGGTCCCATTCCTTTTCATGCTATTAGGTTTTCCAAACTAAGCCAGCTAGACTTATCTTATAACTTACTTAATGGCACGTTGCCACCTTGGATTTTCACCCTACCTTTGTTAGAGCAGTTGTATCTCAATCATAACCAATTTCAAGGTCAAATAAATCAATTCCAGCAAAACTCACTCACATACCTAGGTTTGTCAAACAATAAACTCCAGGGTCCAATTCCTAACTCAATTGCTAATTTAGTAAATCTTAGTTATCTTGATTTATCATCAAATCATTTTAGTGATTTAGTAGAAGCTGACATGTTCTCGGCACTTCAAAATCTGGAAACCATCTTTCTTTCAGACAATAATTTGTCCTTGAGAATGAATGTCAATGCCAACTTCACATTACCCAAATTAACTCATGTTTCCTTTTCTTCTTGTAACTTGAGTGAATTCCCCAATTTCATAAGACATTCAAATGGTCTGCAAAGCCTAGTGCTATCCAAAAATAGCATTCATGGAAATATTCCCGAATGGATATGTGAAAAGGATGATCTCAACATTCTTGACCTTTCTCATAACAATTTAATCGGGAAGATTCCAAATTGTCTTCTTAAGTCTCTCTCAGTGTTGAATTTGCAGGCCAATTACTTCGGTGGAAATGTACCATTTGGGCCTCCAGAGGGCTGTGGATTACGAAACCTCAACTTACATGGAAATCAAATGGACGGGCTATTACCAAGGTCTTTGGTGAATTGTAGCATGTTAGAGGTTCTAGACGTTGGCAACAACAACATAGAGGATACATTTCCTCATTGGTTGGAATCTCTACCAGACCTTCAAGTGCTTGTCTTAAGGTCCAACAAGTTCCACGGTT